TAATAAAATAATACCGATGATCTAATACGAAAGCATACAGAGATAGTTAGAAAAGGGTTATTAAATAATGAATAATAATAATAATGAAGTGGAAGCAAATGGACTGTGCGAATACAAAAGCAAATGTGGACAGCATTGCGTGAATTCAGAATAATCACCTTAATAAGAAAATTCACGAAGTCATATAAGTTTTGAAAATAAAAGTTCATTAAAAAACCAAGTATAAAAATGACAAAAAATGTGATTAAGATTCGAAGTATTGACTATAAATATTTACAGAATATTTTCTGACTTTATTGCAAGCCAGTTTAAAAAAAGTAGCTAGAAATACCTCTCCTGTAAACGGTGATCACTTGTTCTGGTATTGATTGCTACTGCTTTGTCTTCTCACAGAACATCTTTTCGAGTCCTTTAGCATTGATTACCTAAGATAGGGTGGATCACCACGACCACTGGCTTTGGTATAACTTGGATGTGCTCCAAATGAAAATTGAAATAAGACTGGGCGATGTATGCATTTAGTCGCCACGTCACCCATTCATACTGCCACATCTAAACGCAAGCACTTAATCACATATTCTTCAGAAATTTTCACTATTTTACAGACATTTAGTCATGTATTACCCTATTTCTGACTTTTTCAACTTGAATTGTGTCAACAACTCAAAAGCTTGAAGTACAGTTCTTTTTACACTTGTAAACTATCCTCATTGATATCTTTTGCATTGTCTAGGTATTACATACGCGACTGTTTCATAAACTGCGATGAAACATCATTAGGTGTGAATACCCATGAAGCGTATTTTATATTATTAGCCTACTAGTGATCCCATTAGACTATCGTCCGTCATTTGCGGAAACAGTTGACTCGATCGACCAGAATTTTGTCTGTATCTGCAAGAACACCAAGTAATATCGTCATTTTGGGGCAGTTTGACAAGTCTTCAAGTTTCAGAGCAAGTTCACCTACTGTCTGGACGGTCAGGTTATAGTCTGGTGTTTTAGCAATCATAGTTGATTAACAGTGACACTACTGGAGTCGTATTAAGTAGTAACACAACTTTCTGTTTATTTACTTATTGTCTTCCACAACTTTCAGCCAAATCAGAAGTAAGCATCACTATATGACTCTTCTTTTGTCTTTATGAGAAGGGCCTCAGATAGTGTCCTAGTTTGCCACATAAACAGTACCTATGTGCACTAGAGATCATTAGTTGCAGTGCTGTTCGCTGCTGTAAATCTTCAGCTAATCTTCGGTACTGGAAGTGTTCTTCAGACTCACTGGCAACACCTGTAGCTGATGTTCTAGTCCACTTTTGGGTCACAGAACTGCTATCAGTTAGTAAGTCTTCTGCAATACACTGCATGTCGTTCAAGTGCTAACTCCTTCTCATATGAACGCTCCATGCTGTTGTAAGTAGCTTTCAGCCGACTGTTCAGCAGCGTCTTCAACACTACCACGTACACTGTACATCTTTGCACATTCATCAGCATGGAAACAGCTTCAAATTCCTGATGTCAGCTTCAAATATCAACTCCCTCGAAAGCAGCAGGCGCTAGTGTTTATTTCTGTAAAATACAATAGTATTTGACAAAAAGTAGTTTGTTTGGAGAAAAGCTTTGCAATTATGGCAAAACCTAAACACTTTCTTAGTAGATTGCAATTCACCCAACTCGCGGATTGAAATTTCCTATACTTAACTCATTCATTCACAGCGGTCTGAACAGCCAATATCATTTTTGTGACAAATGAATAGGGTGAAGCACACTCTGAGTTGTGTGAAAAACTACAGGGGGAAATAGAGGCCACATTATCTGATTTGATTGTTTCGAACACTTTTGAATTAGTCATAAAGGGAATGAACTGTGAATTTCCTCCAAGCCATAAAATATCTTTGAGGTTTCTTGTCGGTCAATCATTTTGCCAATAAAAATTTCAATGGTAACATGTAGGGTCTTTTCTATCAAAGTTTGCATTTGTCTGTTGAACTGTTTCTTTTATTCTGCTGGGTCTGCCTTGTTTATAGTAGTGTAGAATTGTATAAATGCAACTATTGGATATATTAAGCTGAATCTCGCTCCCGATGTCCTGGATAAAACTGGTCTCAATGCATAATATTCTCAGTGCTCCCGTGGCTATGGTTTGTGTGATTTGAGCAAACAGCAAAAAGTTTGCGAATCCCACTTCAACCTCATCTGTGATCACTTATTCCTGGCAATGCAGTACTGTTTCTTCTAACTTTTGTTTTCTGGCAGCCTTACCATCTTTAAACATCAGGCAGGTGTACAGTGCTCCCTTGTTTTCACTTGCTTTCATCAAAATGATAAACGTCGACTGAGTGGCTTGATGAAGCCTTAACCAGCAGACGTTATTTCCTGCGTGCGGTCCAGGCGAAGAATAAGTTATTTTTAGTAGTGTTTTTGTGCTTTGGACTCTCTGTTGTGATTCAGAAGGTGGTTTCTCTAACTATGCACCTGCCTTTACCTATTGTTTGGAGTAAGTCAACAATGCCTAATATCGCGGATGATGTTCTTGATTGTGGCATACTGTATCATGCTATATTTTCTTTTCCTTCATAGCACTTCAAGCTAGAGGCTTGAAGTTTCTGTAGCAGTGATTATTTTACAGGATGGGGTTGCTAGCCCCATGCCCAACCTTTCCTCTTCACTAGCATTATTTCTGGCTTAGCGAGGTCAAGGAGTACGTCGGCCGGGGATCGAACCCCGGACCATGTGCATGGTCGGCGAGCGTCCTAACCACTATGCCACCGACGCACATCCTGTAGATGGTGTAGAATAAGAGGACAAGAATACGTTGGAAAGTGAAGAGGACTCTAGAATATCTGGATTATGCAGACGATTTATGGATACTGTCGCACCAATCCGAAGTTATACCGGCGAAAAAAATTACATCATTAGAAGAAGCAACGAAAACTGGACAGAGCTGATGAAGATAATCAGTGACCAATCACTATCAAAGGGACAAATTTGAAAAAGGCGCCTCTCTCACGTATCTAGGCAGCATCATTTCAACTACAGGCAGATAAGGATGTCAAGGATAGGATTCGAAAAATGAGACTGTTTCACTGTGTGATATATCTAATAAACAAACTAATATGGAATTACTTACTACCACAGTGCCCAAGTTTTACACATATATTAATGAGACAGACTTTAATTTTACTGAAATCTGTGTGGAGATTTCCATCAGTTGGAATAAAGATTTTGACTCAAACTTCCAGCACCAATGTCGAGTGACTTCTTTTGTAACCTTCAAACAATTAGTGCATCATTAAAATCAGTTACTCAACAGTTGAAAAGAATGTTTTTACGATACTGTGAACTTGACGCAAATGATCTGACCTACCTAGAAAACAGGTGTTTGAAATGGTTGAATAGAGGGAGTGAATGGCATGCATGTGGTCTTTCCATCCCATCTTTCTACATACACATCAAAGTCAAAGTTCAGTTGTATGAAACTGCACAACGTGTAAGTGCTTTAGAATGAGATTCATAATGACTTGCCCACTTTTAAAAGTCCTACTCTAAACTTATAACTAATTCGATTAATGTAAAACAATTGCTCTAAATGTGAACCTAATCATGTTACTCAGCTGAAAGGATCGACTTATACTGAAACTTTATTTTGCCTTTGATAGCATGTTGAATGGTAACTGCTAGTGAAACTGTCAGTGCCTTTTCTATAAGTTGTTACCATAATATCACCAAATAGCTCATGGAGGTGCAGTGAGAATGATAAATGTTGGCTACGGCAGTTTAAAATCACACCTGCTTGCGAAATTCCTTCTGATGATTCAACGGAAATTATTCACCTCTTCCTTGAAAAATTCTGATATTAAGGGGTTTACAATATTACCCTATCATCCACAAATCTTGAATGATAAAATTAAGTGTATAATGAAGCATAGGATGAGTTTAAACGGAAGTATTGGGCAAAACAAAGTTTCCATTAATCTCAGAAATATATCGAGTTTTGATCCGTGGAAAAAACAGGATGTCACATGACTTGCAGTACTAAATACGACCTGATGAATTCAACAGTGGAGTTCGAAGTGATGGGAAACTGAAATGAAGCGAGTGATGAGATCTGTGTAGCTCAAATACAAGGTTGACCCTGTGAAATTCTACGGGACAGGAAATAAGAAATGCATTATGTTCGAAAGGCAATCAGGCAAAACAAAAGTCGAGAAAATATACATTTGAAAGTTAGCCTAGTTCACTGAAACTGTTTCCAAAGTAAGAGGAACTGTACTGTGTTATCGAGGAATGTGACCTATTCTAAACCATCAAAGGAGGACAGAATCTAAATTTGTTCAACCCTAGAGGGTTCGTAAGTTGGCGACTAGAACACATTTGTAGCTGATATCAATAAGTAGGGTAGGGTATATGACTTTTACTTTGATTGGACACTAGTAACTAGCGTGATGTGTGTAGTCCTATCTTTGGTGCACACTGAATTCTGTGGCCACGATTCTAGGTAGCTCGCCATCACGGTCACATTAATTTGATGGTAGTAGATGGTTGGAGGCAATCAGCACGAAACCTTCGACCTAGGTTTCGTGCTAGTTGGCACTCGTCAACAAGGCGTATCTTCAACCTTGAAGGAATTCATGTCCCTTCTGAGATTCAAAACCGCGTCACCCAGTGCTTCAGTCAGAGATGTTACCACTGAGCTATTCGGGCTACTGATTGACTAACTGTAGAACTTTTAATTATTGCCATTACGTGTGCTACCACAAACATCTCTGAAAAAATTCTACAATGGAATACCGAGTGATGAAAACCTAAATAAATCAAAGAGAATAAAAAAAATGACGCACCATATAAAGTCATATCATGAGGACTATTTTTGAGTACTTGGTAAATTGAAAAAAATACCGTGAATTGTTATTACTTTGTTATGATCAAAGTTTATGAATGGTTTAGCTAATCGAAATTTCATTTAGTATATAAACGGGATACTGATTCTGACGCAAGCGATGTGCAAAGCTCTGATACGTAAGTTGTTTATGGCAGTTTTAATGTCATTTTCATCACAATCGTTTGTATATTCTATATTGTGTAGTTGCCTTTTAAGTAGCATAAGAAATGTGGCGGTTTTAATGACACTATATGCAGTGTGTAACTGCAGTGTTCTTGAAGATTTTGATAGTCATTTATAATCCTAAAGAATTTTACTGACACAGAGTTTGAATTATAGAAGTGAGATTGTTGGTGTTGTGCGTTCCTGTTACAGGGTAGATTTCGGCAATTAGTCGACTTCTCTCAAACAGTAATCTAGTACTGAGAGATCAGAATGCCTAATCTCTATTTATGTTAGATGGAATCTCGGAAACCATTAGCACCCATCAATGAGAAGTGAGATATACTGACCTTCTTTTACACTTTATCTCTAATTATTTATAAACCTACGGTGAGTTGAACACTGAATGTGACTTATTTGTCAGCTGTCTTATTATTCCAACGTAAAGATAACTGACACAGTGAGGAAAATTTCTGAAAGCACAAATGTTGGAGGGAGACATGTCATGGCCTATACCATCAGCAAAAGAGACAAACAGAAACGTAGTGACGTCAACCAATTTTAGAGATGGATATGTATTCGGATAAAGAGGCTAGTATAAAGACAGAACAACTGCGGATAGCATGAAGGAAGTCTTAGTGTCGGCGCTATAGATGTCATGACGGAGTAAGTGTTTATGGTTCCTGGTATTGACATACATTTTTAAGTAGCAAATTGAACAGCTAAGTGATGAATTAACTTGCAAGACCAGAAATGGAGATCCTTCAGAAACAGTATATTCACAATACGATTAACTTACGACAGCTGAAACTCCAATGTAAGGTTTTCACACTGTTCACAATGCACATCAGCTTGGAATTGCATAAGTACATGTTTTTTAAGAACAACATCGACCATTAATGGAAAATGAAAAAGTTTCAGATTCTTCTCAGCAATCAGGCAGAGAGTTTGGATCCATTCAATTCCTTTCACTTACCCTCATTAGGTTAATACAACCGCTGTTTGACACATATGCGTCTTCAACACACTAATCTAATTATTTTTCAATACTCAATAACACGTTATCCGCTCTCTATTATTTGCATCTACTGTTTCGACAAATGTCTCGAAATATCTTTCGTTAGACGCGACTGTATATCGTTAAGCCTCTGAGACAAGCTTTATTACAGAATTTGAAGATATTTATTCTGCCATATATCAATAGTCAAACATAATGCAAAATACAGTCAGCGCACACTTTTCTTCATTACAAGGCTACTGTATCATATATAAAATTAACAGAAGTGAAAAATCCTGAAGTAAGTAATTTTTCCGAGTTAGTTCGGTTCTTTACACAAAACAGCATTGTCCCCTACATTTTGGATTACCGTGGGCTACACAAATTCCTATGAATACGGGCTAATTCATAACCTGTTAAATCTGTAGACAAATAAATATGTTCTAGGCATTCAGGTGTTCGGATTGAAGTTGAACAGATTACTTCTCATAGATTCAGTGCCTATCTTTCATAATAAAATTAATTAACCTTTGTAAATGTTTTATATTTTTCTGCGTCATTCATGGCTTATTTCCATAGAAAGACAAATGTCAAGTCAAATCTCAACATTATCCACTTGGAAGTCAATGCATGTGAATAAAACATCCAACCGATTTCTTAACTACTTCATTTGGGTATGCGAGTAGTGTACGTTTCTAAAATATTTCAAACAGATGTTAGTCGACGCATTTTTGATGATACTGGTGACTGCTGGTATGGTTGTAATGGTCAATACTATGTAGGTTTGCAATTCAGTGTTATAAAAGAATAATGATTTATTCAATAGAGGTAAACTCGATACATGGATTGAAAAACACTACTATGTGTCATATATTTTTATGTGAGTCGATTTCACTGATATTTCAATTTTAAGGTTTTCTTTCAAAAGTTTAATGAGTTATTCACAGTCAATTTTGTGAAACAGTCTGTTGTCTTCAAACTGAATTCACCATTTTGCAATCTATGCAGTTTGAGGTTAAATTTAGTCAAGTTTCTGCCAAGAACCGAGAATATTCAGATCAGAATATGTTACCTGCTTGATACTATTGATGAAGGTCGAGAAAGTAAACACAAATTCTTCACGCTATATACTACTAAGTTGCTGTCTGGTGTTATTAACTGGATGCCGTATACATCGATCAGTAGCGGTGACTCATCCATTCATGACAATAGTTTCATCGGTTGGCCACTTCCTCACTGATACAATCAATACAAACTGATATAAATCAGTACAAGATAATTCGTGCCACTTGTGGTCAGTCATATTTTAACTCTGGATTAAGCAGTAACATGCTGTCACTCCAACTGAGGTTAATTGGCAAAGAGTATGTTCTACGATTGTGTAATGCTGTCTATTTTGCAGACATTTTAAAAATTGACACTCATTCATTCGCAGTAAATTGTATGAGTACCTATACATAGAAACGGAAATCACTGCGTTAACCTATTAAATGTTTGTTTTCAGATTTCTCGGATTGTTACCGATTCTAATTCTCTTACTGTTGAAGAGATTCAAATATCCCCGTATGGTTGATCATCTTTTGATATCACTAAGCGTGAGTATTTTTTACAGCTACACTTCATCTCAGTAGTTACTGTGTTTTACATGGAACAGAGTAGCATTGAAATCTAACTTATTTCGAAAATCTTCAGCAACGTTCGGATACAGTGACTCATTTTTCTTGCATTATTAATACTTGCATTGATACTGAAGCCCATTTTAAGAATTAAAATATGAAATAGTAACATATAATAAAACGGCGATCTGAGTGTAGTCGATGCAAACTCCCCATATTTGAGTGGTTCGACAGACCCGCTCTCTCAGGTCGTCATCACATATATTCTTTAGGATATGAAGATATACCTGCTTTTTATATACCTTGTTCCGAATGAACTGATACATGTCGTATAAAATGTAAGTGACTCATCAGTATCTAGGCTTGTTAAGTTCCTTTGAACAGCACATAGGATTAAATAACCCACTGCAACATCCACCACAATATATCATTCAGTCCTCAGTTCATAGTCTGAAACCAGAGTTAAATCTCTGTGATGAATGGACATTCTGAAGTTAAAGCTGTTTATTGAGTGATTATTCATTGTCATTATTACCAAAATCTCTTGCTGCACACTTAATATAATTCTCAAGACCATGATATCTTCTTACAAAGTGGATCACAATGAGGAGGTCACGTCACGCTCATTAACACCAAATAGGATGAACGAGTCACTAAGCAGGTTACCTTTACACATGCCGGGATGTCAATAGTACTTTGGGGTATGACACTCTTCTCAGGTTACTGGAGTGTGATTATATCATTAACCCTTCCTCTCTGTCTTCTCTGCATTCTAATTCTGGTCTGTTCCCACTTATCAATTCTGTAACTACCTACCATCAGAAAATGACACGAATACCAGTCCACGTGAAAGTTTTTCCTCATTTAGATGAATTATGCCAGCAACCAGAATTTCAGCACCACCTTCCAGGAAAAAATTTATATCTAATCCCTTAATTTCTTACGCGTAAGTGGTGTCTGCTGTGGATTTCTGGGAAAAAATGTTGTTGATGTGAAGAACAACCCCACTACACTTATCATGACTGACGCTACCGCTTCGTAAGCAGTGTTGATGTGCGGCAGGGAGAAACAATACTTCAGCAATAGCGACAGTGATCCGACACAGACTTCTTGCTACATGGGCTAGTTGATGAGAATTATTTCCAAAACTACCTGTATTAGTTCATATTAGCTATAGATCTCATTTAATGCTTGGTTTAGCCACAGAGGTCTTGGAAGTATTGGTGTTCTGGACAACATACCCAAAAATATACAAAATAAAGTCTATTCCCCCTGTTTAGTATTTACGCTTTCATACTGACAGTGTTGCATTCCTCTTCTAGAGGTCAGTCTGAATGGTCAGATAGATGATGACTGCGCGCAAAGGTCACGGTACTATCTTAAGAGTCCCCATCAACTCGAACTTCTATCGGTAGTTTATTTACTGGCAAACTTGGAATGTGGAAAGCAGACACATTCGCCGTTCTTTTGGTCGGACCAGTGAACATGTTCAAATAGTAGGAATGTTTCTGTGCAACGGTTTCACTGCACTATTGTTAATTTTCAACAGGTTATGATCGACTTTACATTGATGTATATTTTCCATCTTCTGGCCGAATCTCTTCAACCTGCGGCATGGATATTTCATACATTCTTTATTTCATTGAACCTTGTGTTGTAGTCTTCAATGACTGCTCAGTCTTGTCGAACCCGTCACAAGAGTGATCTTTGTAGTGATACATTTCAACTTAGCATTAGATGTCCAGTCCGTATCACGCTTCTAAACTATGTGCTAACTAGGACTTTCCATGCCTTAGTGTGGAAACACACTGCTTACCATGTGAGCAATCAGACCTATCACACTAATAGTGTTGTAGAGTAGTGATGAATGCAGCACAAAACATATACGACAGACCTACCACAGTTTAAAGCATACAAACTTCATGAAATAAACACCTATATTGGTGTATGTGTACATATATACTTGACTGCAGTAATTTTCTTATACAGTACTTCATTGATTTTTAGTTTATCATGATCGCGATGGGCTTCGCTGCCAAGTTCGTCGGTATCGATTGGATTTACGCTCTCATATCCTGCTGTGTGACAGTAGTGATTGCTTTCTTTGTGATCGTATTGGCTTTACGACTCAGAGATTTGAAGTTCAAGCATACTTTAATTATTCTCATCGTTTCGTGTGTTTTGGCAGGAGTTGGAATTATTGTGTTTTTGGTTGTATGCCTTACAAGTGGGAAAGTGAGTTTGCATGGATATTTTTATTATCAATGCTGCAGTACTTTACTTGTATATGAGAGCGCTAACGTTTGTATTCATCCACTGGGTTAAAGATATTCCTATACGTTTGATCAGGGATGTTAGGAGAGCATGATTTGCAAGTCTCTTGGTGTTTATGATTACAAAACTGTGAATAATTGTCTTGAAGCTGAACAAAATAAGCTTTCAGTTTGTAGATACAGTGATATAGGGGACTAAGAATTCTAAGAGGGGTTTATTATGCCAAATGAAATCATTTCTGGGTAAGACTGAATGGTTTCCTTTAAAGACCCAAAACTTATTATATCAACAGAATATACACTAAGATGTGCAAACCACATTTCATGAGTTATCCAAACACTGAGCGTTTAAACTATGCTTCTCCAGATATCCCTCAAAATCTAGATTAACTGATCTATATGACATGCAAAAGTAGTTGACGGACGTGTCGACAGAAAATAATGAAAAAATAGTTAGTTACAGGATTTCATCATGAGCTGACATTGGTAAGAGAACCATTGGAAAACGTGGGAGTAATGGACAGCTGTTTCATCCCGGTTTGGGACTCTTCATCAGTATGCACCCACCGGGGTTCGATCCCAGGAACTTCTGGTTACAAGGCGAGAAGACCCTGGGTTCGAACCCCGGTGGGTGCATACTGATAAAGAGTCCCAAACCGGGATGAAACAGCTGTCCATTACTCCCACGTTTTCCAATGGTTCTCTTACCAATGTCAGCTCATGATGAAATCCTGTAACCAACAATCAAATCCCTACAATCCAATACTTTTAATACACAAATCAGAAGTGGTTTTGAAATAGTCAGAAGAAGAATTGAGCCCACTTACGGAACAGAGCTGCCCGAATGAGGAAGTTATTTGGAGAATCCAGTAATATCCTGTATCTACAGTCCTCAACTTCCAGAGCAAAATGCTTAGACAAACATAATGATAGGAATTGGGATCACCGATATCCCAGGGAGAAGATGGATTCTAGTACATTTATTCCTACTTCGAATGTATTTTGGTGATAAGTGGGTCATATTTTCACCCTGCTCAGATCAGAACATATGCAATTTCTTCAGAAATATATGCTCTTTAGTAGTGAAACCTGCATTTGATCCAGAAGATAAAGAAGGGAAACTAGGTACGTTAAATTGTAAATCAAGACCAACAGGAGAAGGTTAACTTTAAACTAGTGTTTATCAAAACTTTATACATTTTAATCGGTATTTACAGTTTAGTTCACCTCATACATTATCTGTAAGGGGTGGATTAGCTAAATATCCAACAAATCAAGTAATAGCTGTAAGGAGTACTTTAAAAACCTAACTGATGAAGTAAATGAAGTGAAGGGAGAGTGGGTGCTAAACAAATTTCTCACAAAAATCATTCGGAAGGTCATATAAGTTACAATAACATAAATAAGAAAGAATTTAAGGCATCTGAAGCGCTAACATAAACAGAATGGACATTCAAATCTCAACGTAGGTTAACTAATAAATCAGTCAATAAAGTGCGGGAGAAGGTGAGATAGTTGGCAGTCCCCTGCACAAGGTTGGATAAGGCAACTGTTGCCCACTCTCCGGAGCTATGAATCGTCTGTTACATCGGACGGCCTTTGGCGTCGGTGGCACAGTGGCTAGTACTCTCACCGATCATGCACAAGGTCTGGGGTTCGATCCCCGGTCGACGCACACTTGATATCAATGGTCAGCCTGCTAAATTTTGACTACTGATATCACATGCTGAAAATTCCATACTTGTATCAAAATACTCTGTGGAATCAAGCATAATAAAATTAAAATAAGGTAATCAAAGAATAAACCTACAAATTTACCCAGGGACGAAGCTTTTACACTGAATAACCCTGAAGTTCCATTAAAGACAAAATAATCAACAAAATACTTTGGAGCGGCTGAGGAGTCAACTTTATTGGCCAGAGAATAAGGCCGAAGTGGGTCGGGACTTAGTGATTACACTCTCCACATTAATACACAGTCACACAATAGTGGTACGTAGTTCCTGTTCTAAAAGTTAATATAGATATGTGAAAGAAGAGATTGGTTATCGATTCTTTTATCACTGAATTCATACGCAACATATACATTGGGCATAGCGTTGCATCAAGACGAGAGATGATAACTATTTTGCTACCTATAAATTCAGAGTATGTGAAATAATGAAACCATGTACATGAAGTCCAAAAGTTAGGCAAGCACTTCTATACAACAATTATGGGCAATTAGTGAATAAATAATACAGTATCCAGGTTGAAGATGAGGTAGCAACTCATCGAAGAAGACATTGCG